ATTTTTCTAGCATGACCTTCAATGTCAGGGCCTGAATTTTCTCTTTGTCACTGTTGGAACGTCTGTTCATTTATCTTAATATTTATAGCTCTCGGGGGACTGTCGACGTTTAGTCCCGTTCTGGTTTTGTTTCTTGTCAAGTCGTCTTGTGTTTTGAGTATTTTGAGATATCAGACAGATTGAAATTAATAACATATGGGACTGCTAAATGTGATGAAGTTCATAATGTATTGCTGTAATGCAATATAGTACTTGAAGAAGAAACACATCTACACAAAAGTGTAACTAATATTAAGGATAAAACATGTTTTGTGAGATGAAACAGTAACTTTTTGCATTCACAAAAATCAAATAATCTTAAAATTAATGATAAATACCAGATCTTATTTACACTTACATATTGGATTATGAGATTACAGTAAAGTGTACTTGAAGAAGAAACACAGCTATACAAAAGTGTAACTAATATTGAGGAAGAAAAATGTTTTGTAAAATAAAACTATTACTTTTCGCGTTCACAATAATCAAATAATCTTAAAATGAATTATAATTAATAATAGTAAAAATAAGTAGAATTCAACTGAATAAAAAATATATTCTCTGGAAAATGATATTTTTGTGTTTTTGATTTGTCAATTTATTTAATTAATTACTGATCAAAATGTATTTATGGATCAAAATAAATATTTAATATTTTCTACATTTGATATATTTACTGTTTTGTGTTTCATAGTAATAATTGTTAATCATCATACTGTTACATTTGAATGGTTACTGTTAAAAATTAAATATGTAGTGGAGGTTCTCATTAGGAAAAAGGAACAATAAATATGTTGAAGTTTTTTTTGGGGGGGGGGGGGGGGTAGATGCGTGCTTGCGTGTGTGTGTGAACATCAATAAGTTATTAAAATATTTTTTTTAAATATAGTTTAGGATTTATACTTTAGTTTAAACATAAGAACTTAGTGAATGTGCATAGTGAATGAAGCTATCTGGAATAAAACTTGTGATCTTTCTTTTTCTGCCATTGTGTGTTTTTTCATGACTGCTTTTTACGTGCATTTTCTCATGCATTACACAATATTGCAATACTTCTCTCAGTTGCAGTTTATCCATATATATCCCATATACTTTGCCCTTATTTGACCTTATAATACTCAAACTTATCTAATATAAACGACTTTTATTTTCATCATGAGATTTTTTTTCCTCTTGGTCGATGTTCAATTCGGCTCATATTGATCTAGTCTGAAGTACATTCATTTGCTTTGTGCAGCTGAATCCCCAAATGCCATTACGGTATTCCCATATCCCATCACTGTCCTCAGAACGGCTTTGGTTTTACCTCAAGGCATGTGGAGCAAAACAACAAAAAGCCTCTTTAAAAACGTATCTGCGTCTATGCACTGCTGCCTTCAAATACACTAACCTTCATCAGAGAGGAACGTTAGCCTTTAAGGCCATTATAGAAATCAATAATGTCAACAGTCCTGCTCCTTTATAACACCCTGATAGCTTCGACAAGGACAGTGGGGCGTTATTTAAGGCATTTTGATCTTTAATAGTCTTGCTTAACCGACCAGAGACTTTAACCACAATAAGAAACCTCATGGCAAAGTGATACCGGTCTGAATGATTGCACCACACTATGGCGGAAGCCCTCAATCAAATATACTCACTCAGTTTGCGTTTGATCATGGTCTCTGACTCCTGTGTCCTCTTGTGTCTTTTCCGGGACGGGGAGCCACAAGTCCTCACTTCTGGCTCTTGTAGGTGTGTGTGTGTGTGTGTGTAGACTTCCGCTGCACAGGGCTGATGCTCTGTAAGCAGCAGCAGCAAAAGGACTTCCTGTGGTTGCTGGGCGGATACATGTGATCTGTACTTCGCAGTAATGCCATATTTACTCAATAGCACTCGATGCTGACATGCAGGAGAGCTTCTTGGGTCACTCTGTCAAAGGTGACGTGACTCCAGTGTATCTCGGGATCTGCATTCAGTGTCATTCTAAGACTGAATAATATGACGTCTAACAAAATGTGCATCACCATATACTATAATAATAATTAGTGCTGTCAAACGATTAATCGCGATTAATCACATCCAAAATAAAAGTTTTTGTTTACATAGTATATGTGTGTGTACTGTGTATATTTATTATATATATAAATACACACACATGCATGTATATATTTAAGAAAAATATGTTATGTTTATATATTAAATATATTTATATATAATATAAATTATATGAATATAAATATATTTGCGAAATATATGGTGTATGTGTTTGTATTTATATATACATAATAAATGTGCACAGTACTACACACAGATATATTATGTAAACAAAACTGTTATTTAGGATGCAATTAATCGCGATTAATAGTTTGACAGCACTAATAATAATATATAATACTTAATATAAATGTATCTTTTTACTTTATATAAGATGCTATTTATATTATCTTATTATAAAGCATTTTGTTTATATAGCTTGTACCTACCACTTCATTAAAAAAAAAAAAAACTTGACCTCTGACCTTTTGTACAAAGGCACAACAAAGTAAATGATGATTAGTGACTAGAAATAATGTTGAATCTTATTATTTCAATATTTCTTCATTACATCGTAACTTTATTTATTTATTGGCCTTGAGTTGAGTTTAATATGCACCAAATTATGAGCAAAAATTAGGCAAAAATAAACCATTTGTAATTAAGTTATGAAACAATACATAATGTAAGTGACACGTCTTCATTATGTCATAACTTACTTTATTAATTTATTATTTTTTCATTTTATTTATTTATTGGCCTTGAGTTTAAAGTGCACCAGATTATAAACGAAATTAGACAAACATAAGAGTAATTAAGTTATGAAACAATACATAATGTAAGTGACATTTCTTCTTCATTATTTCATAACTTTTTTATTTATTTGCTTATTTATTGGCCTTGAGTTGAGTTTAAAGTGCACCAAATTATGAGCAAAATTAGGCAAAAATAAACAGTCTGTAATTAAAATATGAAACAATACATATTGTTAGTGACATTTCTTCTTCATTATGTCATAACTTTATTTATTTATTTATTTATTTATTTATGTATTTACTTATTTATTTATTGGTCTTGAGTTTAGTTTAATGTGTACCAAATTATGAGTAAAATTAGGCAAAAATAAACCATATGTAATTAAGATATGGAACAATATATAATGTAAGTGGCATTTCTTCTTCATTATGTCACAACTTTATATATTTATTTAAATCCCATATTTTCAATGGACTCCACTGTATATTTCTAGAAATGTATTAAATACATATATAAAAATTACATTTCTCTGTGAGCTGTCACTAAAAGATGCACATTAACGCATGCATAAAGCATTAAGTATGATGAAGTCAGAACCTGCATTGTTTGGAGGACTTCTCTTCATCTTCACACATATAATAGCAGACCAGATATATTTGCGAAAGCAGCAAGTGTTGTTCATAAATGTGTTGCATCTCACTTCCTCTCCTGCGATCTGGCTTAAGCTTACTTCCTGCATGAACGTGAGCTGTGTGTGAGGGTGTGTGTTTGTGATACTGAGAAAGAAAGTGAGAAGTTTAAAAGGGTGTTGCTAGTTTCTGTTGAGTCTGTAATTTTTTTTTACTGTAACATATAAAAGCAAAAGGGCCCTCAAGTCGGAATTTTAAAGACATAGACACACAAATTACATTCGTATAGATTGTACATTTAATATTTTTTATATCCTCATACCACAAGTGTTTTTAGTTTTAGTTTAAACCAAGGACATAATATGCTAATTGTTGCATCTATTATGAGTCATTATAATACTGCTCTTGATTTCAACACTTTGCAGTTTTTCAGTACAAATGTATGGCGAGTTAAATGCAAAAAGGACATACCAAATATCTCAGTGTAAAAAATTTGCATACTATCCATCACAAGTATGTAAGATTAATTGATATAAAGCTGAAAAAAGGCAAATATAAATATTATGTGAAAAACTTACTCTAAATAAACATTTTGAAATGTTGTCTTGTCAACTAACTAAAGTAAGTTAAAGTAGGCCTACTAAAATTAGTAACTGAACTAAAACTGAAAGAAAATAAACTTTAGAAAAACTATTTAAATAAATAAAAAATAAAAAATGACGAATAAATTACTAAACATTTAAATAAATAAATAAATATGAAAAACTTTTTTTTTTTAAAGATAATTTTAAGATTATTTTTGCCTACATGCTAATACATGGAAGCGTAAATACTGTCGTATGTACACTCTAAAAAATGCTGGGTTAAATATAACCCAGCCCTGGGTAAAATATGGACAAACCCAGCGATTGGGTTCTTTTGACCCAGCAGTTGGGTTAAACGTTTAACCCAACCTTCTGGGTAGTAACCCAAATGCTGGGTCAAAACAACCCAATTCTGGGTTTGTCCATATTTTACTTGACGATGGGTTGTATTTAACCCAGCATTTTTTAGAGTGTATGGAGGAGGTGATGGGAATATCTAAATACAGTGTGTGAATATCCAATACTGGCATACTGTCTTCCTACATACTGTCTTCCATTTTTAGCAAACATTTAGTTTAGTATGCAAACTGGGGCACAGCCATGACACTATGCAAAAATGCAGTGACCTATCTGACCACTAGAGGACAGCAGCGGTCCAAATACACCTCAGCTACCACACTCCTACTTATACAAGCTTAATAGGTGCAAATTATCAAGTAGCCATGAACTGATTAGCAGCCTATTAGCCTTGAGCTGGTTTAATGTGCACCAAATTATGAGCAAAATTAGGCAAAAATCAATCGGCTATAATTAATTCATGGAACATTACTGTCCATCTTGTAAGTGACAAGCCTTTTAATAACTTCATGACTGGAGGCTTTCGAGAAATAAATGACAGTCTGTCAAATGGAGAACTGCTAAAGTTGCAGAGACAGAGCTATATGTGATCTGTCATGCCATAACCAGATATTTTACAACCTAAATTCTCCTAGACTTATAAAATGCTCCTAGAGTGATTTTTATTCATTTATTTATTTTTAATTAGTGGGCAGCTACTAATAACTTGATGTCTATTATTACCTCTTCTTACCTATATTACCTCTTTGGATCTTAACATCAGTTTTTGTACCACTTGTGCACTGCATATTCAAACACAACTTGAGCAATTGAGGCTTTTTTTTATGAAATCCCAGTCACACTTCAGGTTTCAGAATGAATTACGAAGATTGTGTCTATCACAAATCATGATAATAAAAATAATTTGCACACTTTGTGTTTTTGTGTAAGGCACCTATATGTAATGAGTTCTTTGCTCACTTTTGTTTGAAAGACTCTGCAAATTGTGTCCCATCCCCACATTGGCCTTCAAATAGACCTCCCCATCAGATGGCCTATTAAGCGCCAGTGTTGGCGAGTAATTAGTTACATGTAATGGCATTACGTAATTTAATTACAAAATACATGTAACTGTAATCTGTTACAGTTACTGAGAAAAAAAAGTGTAATTAAATTTCAGTTACTTATGAAAGTGTTAATGATTACAAAGGGGGTTACATCTGAATATTTTTTCACACACGTACAGATTTGATTGATTTCTTTCCCAAATTGCATTGGCTGCTCTAAAATATGAGACTCCAATGTTTCAGGAATTTAGGACACAGAATAGGACACATGCTTATTCGATAACTCTTTTATTTCCTATTTGTGTTTGTTTTATTTTTTTATATTTTCCAATGCATTATTAGCAGTGTTTCTTGCCATAACTATGCAAAGATTTGATTAAAAAAATAGTATCATCATAGCTATTAAACTATTTCATGTTATGATTTTAACCTCAGAATGATGTCAAAGTAAAAAGAGGTGCTAAAGTCAAATTTTGTGGTGGTTGCACTTTAAAATTAAATTATTATACACTCTGAAAAATAAATGTTCTTGTCATCAATGGTCCTTTGAAGAACCTTGAACATCCATGGAACCTTTCAAATGCAGAAAAGGTTCTTTATAGTCGAAAAAGGTTCTTTAGATTTCTAAAAATGTTCTTCAAAATGGTTCTTTTAGGAACTGTTCACGGAAAGGTTCTTTTGGGAACCAAAAATGGTTCTTCTATGGCATCACTGCAAAAACACCCCTTTTGGAATGTTATATTTTTAAGAGTGTAATCTTAATTCAAGTGAAGAAGGATTTCGAAAAAGTAATCAAATGTAATCAGTTACATTACTTTACCAAAGTAATTGAAATACTTACGATACTTATTACATTCTGAATAGGGTAACTTGTAATCTGTAACCTATAACCTTCCCAGCACTGTTAAGCGCTTAAGCTATTTGCGCATTTCACCACCTAAACAAACAAAAAATAATAATATTATATTATATTGCATTATTAACACAATTGTATCGTGTATTTTGGTACAGCTTTTTGAGATGAAATATTTGTTTCTTTTAAATAATTACACTTTTAATAATACAAAATCTTTGATTCCACGAAGAACCTGAAACATCCATGAAACCTTTCCACTGGACAAAAGGTTTTTAACTGTTTACTGAAATCTTCTTTGGGGAAGCCAAAATGGTTCTTCTATAAGAACCAATTACAAGCTTTGACATAATAATGCAATTATTATTATCATTTATGTCATATGCTGTGAAAACTCTTTTTTGGAAGCTTTATTTTTAAGACACAAGGCAGTAAGTGTAATTTAAAGCAGAATCTTCTACGTCTGATGTACTCTCAAGTGAAA